CTCCTAATTAATAGCCTTTAGTGAACTAGTAGCCTCGTCAATTTGATTTCATTTCCTGAGTAAGACCGTTATTCCCCCCCCCCTTCCCCCCTCCCGCCGCCATCCCCTGACATCTGACATGATTTTTTCTTTCTTTTGTGTTGGCTTTATTCTATGCGACTGTGTATGGGTACATGTACAGTATGTCAAGTTATCAACTCACAAGTCATTATTGTGTTAACTGAGAATGTATTTAAAACTTGCAATAAATCTTTGTAGGAGTAATATTTTGGTATACATGTATATAGTATGGCAATGTACATGAACCCCTAACATACAGAACAAAATATTTTTGATGATTGGTGTTCTTAAACAAGTACATGTACAATGTAGCTAATGTTTTAATGAGCAACAGTCTGCATATTAGATGATTCACTGATAATAATATATTAAACGTGGTACGATGTAGGGTCACAACGTACAACAAGTATTACCAAAGGTTCCACTCTTAGGCCAGTATTTTTGAAATTTGTCAAACTTTAGGACAGGTTTAAACGATGACTAATTGGCTTGAGTAAGGCCACTGAGTTGTAAGCGTAAATGTGCATTTATTCATTCATTTATTCAATACCCACCCAAAATTTGAATTTGATGTAATTGATTATCAATGAGCCAGCTCATAGACAATATGTCATGTTTATAGGTCATGTTTATCACGTTGTACAATTTATGGAGTTAAATACTTGATATGTACTAACAAAAGTTTAGTATTAAAGATAAAGGTGAGTTCTGGTCATCCGATTGCATTGTGAAAGAAAAGGTGTGGAATGGATCAGAAAAAGTCGATCATGTAGCATGTACCGTAAGTTTTGGTGTGCACTGCAAGGTTCTGGAGTCATCAAAATCATAATATATTTGGCCCAGTCTTGGTAAGGTAACAAGCACTGCACACAGAAAGATGTATATAGGACTACAAAAATGGTTTCTGGGTTTTGTTTGATTCTGTGAGAATTCATTTTTTTTAATTTTTACCAGAACTCACCTTTATCTTTAAGTATGCATTTTATGCACCAATACACAATTGGAGGTGATTCATAAATCACCATTATTACTAGGAACTCATAGTGTTTTTCTTTGTTTTGTTTTTTTCTAAAAATGCACAAAGTGACATCTCTACGTATTGGGAAGTTTTGTGAATATTTCGAGTCATCGGTACAATGAACAGACTAACTCCAAACTTGGAAAAAAGAAAGGAACACATGGAGGTACAAATAAAGGTGTGATGTACATAAACAATCAATATCAGTTTGGTAGAATTGAACTTTTTGCCATGAATCACTGTACATACATCTCCTTCCTGAAAATCAAATATTTCACTCTCAAACAAACCCCCAAAACACGTTTCTTTGTGTCACATGATCATAGATCAAGACATATAGATATAATATTGGCATGCCATTGTCATGTAATTCAGATCCATATCATACTGTACAGCTGACCAAATATTTATGAGACCATAAAATATAGAGAAAAGCAGAGGCTGTCTTGGGTTTTTGTTTTGTTTTTCCTTTTTTAATGTGACAGGTTTCATTCTCTCTCTTTCTCTTCACCTTCACTTCTATCATATTTATGTTATTCTATATTTCTCTATTTTTCTCTTTTTCTTCTATTTCTTTGATTTTTAAAAAAAATGTCTTCTTCTTCTTCTTCTTCATTCTTATTGTCCTTCTTTCTTCTATTCTTCTTCTTCTTCTTCTTCTTCTTCTTCTTCTTCTTCTTCTTCTTCTTCTTCTTCTTCTTCTTCTTCTTCTTCTTCTTCTTCTTCTTCTTCTTCTTCTTCTTCATTTCTTCTTCTTCTTCTTCATTTCTTCTTCATTTTTTCTTTCTTTTCTCTCCCACTTATCTCTTTCTAAAGAGTTGAAGTAGGAAAGAGAGAGGAAGATAGAGAGAGGGAGGAGCCGATGAAAGAAGAAACAGAAATAAATCCTGTAGAGATAGGATCCAGCCTTTTTTGTTACATGTAACTTTGCCTCCTTTAAAAATTGCTCTTGCATCTCAGTCTCAACACATATCTTGTGTTACATAATTAGACACCGTTCTCACTCACTTCCTAGACCGGTTTAACTGTAAGTGTGAACAGACGACTGTGCCCGGAAGTTTGCGATGTGGTCTTCTGGACCGGTACGTTTCTTAGATCGCCCTAGACCGATCTAGCGTGAAGTGCAAACATAAACCGTGCCAGGAAGCGATCTTCAACCGGAAAGTGTGTTTTGGCGGGAGAGTAATGAAAGAGAGAAAGAGATTACTGTACAAGAATAAGAACAGAGAATGATATAAGGAAGTATAGAGAGAAAATGATAGAATTATAAAAACAAAGAATAACATAAGGAAAGGTGATAGAAAGAAGAAACAGATAATAACATAAGTAAAGACAGATAGAGAATGGTAATACAAAGATTAATATTAGAGAAGGTGATAGAAAGAAAAACAAAGAATAATATAATGAATGGTAGGAAGAAAATTATAGAATAATTAAAGAGAAGAATTACGTATTAAAGAATAGGTGACAGAGGGAAGAAACAAAAAATAAACTTAAGGAAAGATAGAAAGAAAAATAATAGAATGATAACAGAAAACAAAACAAAGAATAACGTAGGGAAATATGGGAGAGAAAATGATAAAGAATGGATAATGGAAAGATAGAAGAGAAGATGAAAGATGGAAAAACAAAGAATAACATAAGAAAAACAGAGAGAAAATGATAGAAGGAAAACAAAGAATAACATAAGAAGTGATAGAAGAACACCAAAGACTAACATAAGGAAACACAGAAAGAGAAAATGATAAATAATAGAAAATTCAAAGATAGAAGATAGTAGGAAAACATAGAATAACATGAGGAAAGATAGAAACAAAAAAAATTATAGAATAATAAAACAAATTAGAATAACTTAAGAAGTGAAAAAAAAGAAAAAACAATGAATACCATGAGGAAAGACAGAACGAGAAAATGATTAGTAATAGAAAATTCAAAGATAGAAAAGGAGATAAAAGATAGAAAAACAAAGAAACCTTTGCTACTACAGCATATGAGTTTATAAAGCCCTTCTGCCTCCAAAGAGATGTTAGTTACCTGCTTCTTCTTCGTAACACAGTTTTAATACAATTCTTTATGCAGGTACATGAAGGTGGCACTAGTATATGAAAACCTAGGACCAAAATTTTCTTCAGAAGACAGGAAGACCCACAAGTCAATTTGAAATGATGATGAAATACTTACATGTACGTGTAGCTAGATACAGATTATTTCTTATCTACCGTATTGACTTAAGTTCCAAAGGTGTTGGGTTTTAGTATTTAAGCTATATGAAGTCAAGCATGGGTGTTGATACTTACGTAATACCTATTCATCAGGGGGGATGAATGAATAGATCATCCCCCCCTGATGAATAGGTATCAGTTACGGATCGACACCCATGAAGTCAAGCCCTTTCCAGTCCCCATAGAAAGAGAGAGAGAGAGAGAGAGAGAAAGAGAAGAAACCCATAATTAGTTGGGTAATTATCCAATCCTTGGTCTTCTTATGTTAACTGAGAGCTGAGTTGATGAGATAACCACCTGTCCAGTGACCTTGCAGGGCAGTCTAATCCCTCCTATAAGCTACGGCAGATAAGCTTTAAAAACCACTGACCAGTATTAAAACCATTCTAAGAAATGAAATAAATGTTAATTCTGAAAATTTGATGTTAAGTAAACAGTGTTTTAGTAGACATGTACATGTAAGTCAGGGTAATTTGAGCCTATATAAACAGCACTTAATTGTGCTGATCCATCTCAGAAGTGGTACATGAATAACTAAATTAATAAGTAAATAATAGTATGCTAGTTATAGGTCACAGGACGTTGACATCAATCAATGAATAATTTCTTTGAAAAATATTTTGATGAATGTGGTGGTTCTTGTGGTGGTTTTTTACATGAATGCTAAGAAAGCATAAATGCTTGTAAGTAAGGAACCAGACGGCCGACGGCTTTAGGTCCTCTCCGAGGGACCTGAGTGATACATATTGAAGGAAATTACGCAATTTTTAAGTGCCAGCACATGGTAAATGTCCTTTGTATTCATACACGGAAGACATGATGAAATCATCATTGCAGGCATACCCTACAGGTGCTGTCATTTTCATTGCAACCCTTTGAATGGCACCTTGAAATGCCTATTGTCGGTTCGGAGACAAAAGGGTGTTGCCTTAGTGTTCAGGAATATTAGTTAACACCCTTCTGGCTCCAAACACACTAATATATTCATGTCTGGCACTGACCCTAAGCCTCTTTGCTCTATATAAAATCCCAAATCAAAACAGATTAAATGTTCTCTCTAGATTGGTGGGCTCGAGTATCCTCTGAAAGACATTTTTCTAGCAGGGTTTGTGCTGGGACTGCAGCGCACCACAGGCAAACAGGGTAGACAATGAAGGGACCAGTCTCTTGAGAAACTCTGATTTTGGCCTCTTTCCCACACAAAACCACCTCATAAATGCTAAATTGATTGCATTATTTAAGCATATTGAGGTCTGATGATCCAGTGGTAGAGCAGTGATCTAGTAACCGGGAGGTACCGGGTTTCAAACAAATGATGCCAAGATCCCTTTGATATGACATTAGTCCTCATTAGTCATTACCTGCCTCTACATTATTCTCCCTTCCCTTCTTCTTCTCTCTCTCTCTCTCTCTATCTCCCCCTTCCCTTTCTCTCTCTCTCTCTCTCTCTCTCTTTCTCTATCTCCCCCTTCCCTTTCTCTCCCTCCCTCTCTCCCTCTCTCTCATTCCCTCAGTATGAATAGGAATATACTCATCTATCTTCAGTATGTCCCAACAAATTTGTTCCATTATTTTTTGTTTACTCTCCTTCATTCACCAATCTTCTTGTTGTCCATGACCTGCCAAAGCTAGCCATTACTGAAAAACCGGAATTATTGTTAATAAGTTTGTCATTTTTATTGTTTATGTCCACCTCACAGATATCAGCTAGTTCTGAGGAAAAGGAAGAAAGATGGATGAAAAAACTTCAAGACATGAGAAAAGAAAGGCTACAAGCAAATCCTTCTCGCTATAAACACATCCTGAACATTTGAAGGTTTTGATGAAAGTTATTCTTATATATAGAGAGAGAGAGAGAGAGAGGTTGAGAAGACTCCAGTCTTGAATTCAAGGTCCTGTTGCTCACATTTAAGGCAATTCATGGTCAGACCCCAGGATATGTGTCATCTTTAATCGGAGCGGTGTTATCTTCGCCCTGGACTTCGCTCATCTGGCCTTACTCTCCAGATGCCCATTACTCATCTCAAGGGATATGGAGACCGGGCATTTTCCTCTATTGCTCCTCGCCTGTGGAATTCCCTCCCATTATCTATTCGCGAAATTGACAACCTGGACCACCTCAAAGCTTCACTCAAAACTCACATCTTCCTTCAGACATTTGAATGCTAATTTTATTGGAGGAGCTCGCACCTTTGAATGTTTTTGAAACAGGTATGGCGCCATACAAATGCTGTTCATCATCATCATCATCATCATCATCAGTCAGCCTTCATTGTTTATGTGAAGATGTGAACATCTTGCTCAATGAGTCACCATGAAGATCCTTCAAGTTCTGAAGCTACAGAAAGAAAGGCTGAAGGCAAATCCTACTTGTTATTAAAACATCCTGAACCCTGGAAGATAATTAAAATTCTCTACTTGATGAAAAACTTCTTTTCTTGAGAATAGGAAGATTCCAGGCCAACTGTGATTGTGATCTGGAGAGCTGTAAACATCCGACTCTAACAAAAATCACCTTGAAGATCCATTCTTCAGTCCATGATCAAAGAAATTATGTTGAAGGGAAAATTGTACCCATTATGAGAACATCCTAAACATATTAGAAGGTTTTGTTTAATGTTCAATACTATTTTAACTGCATTTCTTGAGGGTAGAAAGATTACAGGCCAACATGGTTGTGATCTGGAAAATTGCTCAAATGAAAATCACCCTCAAGATTCTCCTTTCATTATTTTGAATCTGTGGTCTTTGAGGGAAGAAAGATTGAATGCAAATCCTACTCACTATAGGCCTGTCTACACTATCTCGAGATTGCCAAATATCCAGCTATTTGAACTATCCCGATCGCAAACTATCCAGCTAATTTGCGTCTTCATCAGACCAAAGTAGCAATTAGAAGGATATTTGGTCGGGATTGTCATCCCAAGATATCTTGGGATAGTTTGCAAAATATCCCACTATTTGGCAAAATATCCAGCTATTTGTCCTGTGCGTCTTCACTAGACCGAAGATTTGCAATACGCGCTAACGCTGAGCAAAATATATCGAGCTAATTTGTCAAGGTTGAGTTTCAAGTTTCAAGGTCGAATCTTGAGCTAATGAAGACGCAATATGTAACTTCGGGATTATTTCTCAAATAGTAGTTTGTAATGGCATTTGTGACCGAGGCTTTATAAATGCACCAAATTTCTTGTCTTCTGAAAGATTTGTCTTGGAGGAGTGTACAGTGTAAGTTTGTGAAGAATTCTTGGTTGGTGGAGTTTGATATACAAACATCCTATGGACTGGAAGCTCTGATGCAAACCCATACCACTAAAAAGCTGTACTTAGTTGAAGAAGAACAACAATAACATGTACAACTAGATAAGAGCTCAAGAGGATTTAGGCCACCTTTGATGCATTTTTTGACTTAAAACCATCATTATGAAAAGTGCTATGTAGTCTACATGTAATTATAAACTAAAAGTCAGTGCTGCTAAACAATTCCATTCGGATGGTTCAATTATCAGAAATAGTCCTATGTCACAACCTTTATGACAGCCGGACACCTTCCGCAGATGTGTCATAGAAATTGTTTGTTATTGAAATGAAGTCTGAGATGTTGATGGAAGTGCTGTCTCTAGTACCTATGATACTTCATGAGAAGGAATATTCCATTCTGAAGTGTGGGTATTTCAATCTGCCATAATAATAACTCAGTAATGTTAACACATTCCCAACAATATCTTTTATTAGATATTGCACATGACACCTATTCTCCATACTGGTAGGGGCAAACACCTTTGTAAACACATAATACCTGCAAAGAACTTGAATAATATAGAACTTGTCTTGAATCAAGATTTCATGTATATATTTGTGATTGGATCAGCAGGCCCAATGGTATACTTGATTATTCTCATGTTATGACATTTTGATTGTATTTTTTTCATGGAATAAGAACAATTAACCCATTGGATTGTTAATATTGGCATTTGTTTTGTCATTATGTATTTTTCTGTGTTCCCTCCATCTATTTAACCCAAAGATACTCCCTGATTATATTTTTTCTTTAAATATCAAGACTTTATTTATTTGGATTAGTAGATTAGGCCTTTTAAAAAAAGATGTTGTATTGCCCTTTGCGACCGACCCAACAATCTTGATTTTTTTTAAATATTTTTTTAAAACCATTTTTTCGAGAAAAAAAATGTTTTAAAGCATTCAAAACTGAGAAATAGAAAGAAGAAAAGATTTCAGACCGACCGACCCATGTTTTGACACCTAAAGGGCAATACAACATCTTTTTTGTTAGGCCTTATAGTAACGCATCTATTGCTGTGAATTAGAAGAGAATGAGAAGTAGATACTGAGAGGGAGATTGACATTTATGATAAAATTGACTTGGGCAAAAATATCTGTTATAGTAATGAAATATGCCTTGAGCTTTCCAATTTTTATAAACAGGTACTTATCTATGTTAAATTTGACCTCTTTTATTTCTTTCTCAAAAAATGTTGAATAGTAAGGGTTAATTTATCTTACAAGAGATGTAAAACTTTTTTTCGGGACTGTAATACTTCAAATGACAGACAAACCTGTACAGGTATTCTATTTCATCTTTTCTCTTTCACTTAGGAATTGTAAAGGCAAGCAAAGTAAACATATTCCAGGAAATTAGCTAAATGGAAGACAAACTGAGATGGAGATAGGGAGAGAGGGAGGGGGAAATGTATAGATTTACAGAAAAGGGGAAAGAAAGAGTTTGATCGTGAGAGAGAGAGAGAGAGACAGAGAAAGAATGGAAAGGAATAGGAGGAAAATAGATTGAAGTAGAGAGAAAATAGAGAAGAAGACAAGTTGGGGGAAACATAGAAAAGGGGCGATGAGAGGAAGGGAGGATGAAAAAGAGAGCGAGAGATTGAGAAAGAATAAAATAGAAAGGGGATATAGAGAGAAGTGCTTGATCTTATGAGAGAGAAAGAAGGAAAGGGGGAGGGAGATAGAAATGAAGATGTTAAAGACATTTTTTGTTGTGTGTGTGTGTGTGTGTGTGTGTGTGTGTGTGTGTGTGTGTGTGTGTGTGTGTGTGTGAATGTATGCTCCGATCATCTGATGACCCGGTTAAAGATAAATTCGAGTTCTGCGATTGCATTGTGAAAGAAACGGTGTGGGAAGAAATTTAGTCCAGTTTTGGTAAAAACAACAAGCACTTTACACATAAAGATGTATATGGGACTACAAAAACATGTGGCTTAAAAATGTGGTCCTCATTTTAAAAGCTGTTACATGTCATATTTAGAATATGAAGGCATTTGAAAAGCCATGCTTTTCAGGGAACAATTTTCTCTGATATTCTTCCACACTTGCATAATTACAATGAAAACGCTCACATTTTTTTTTCTACCACTCCCCAGAACTCGCCTTGACTAGTTTTATTCTCAATTAACTTGAACTTAATCGGTATCCCATGATATATGCATATACTCCACGATCTTTTACGACAATTAAAAATATATAATGAACTATACTGATCATGATGTTATGTACTTTTTCTGGACACTTTTTTTTCTTTCCCAATTTATAGCAGAATATGACAAATCAATCAAAGTCGTGTATCGTGGGAAAAGTAATCGGCATGTCCTCTTGTTTGGACCGAATTTTTGGGGGTTGGACATATTATCTCCAATATCTTCATTGTCTTTCTATTTGTATTTTTTCTTCTCCAGAGATTACTCAGAAGGTGTAAATGTTTACATAATTTACAGATAAAAGATAAGAAAGGAGAAAAAGGTATGCTTACCATAATTCTGAAGATTGTGTGACGGTATTGACTTTTCACACCCGCTAGTTGCTTATCGGTTGTTTGAAGTACGGAAATATTTGTTGTCATATCTGTCAGTTTCTTTACTAATAACAAAATGATTATTTATGATTGGCACCAAAGTCAATCTTCGTGCTATTTATGAATGACAAGATATTTTCAGACTGCCTTTGAAGAAAGAACACAAAATGTAATAGTATATGAAAGCCCTACAGAAATGCGGTAATGTTTGGCTTGTCTAGAGGTGTCGAAACTCAGGGAATTTTGAACATTCATGTAGGAGAATTTGAAAATAATGTTGTAACATTATTATAATGATTTATTATTATTATTATTGATGATTTGGCGTCACCTGGGTCTGGGAAGGGAAGAGTAGACTATCAATGTAACTCTCGAGTCTCTCCTCCCGATATAACTGTTTGGGGGAAGTGTAGGCTGGCCACTGCACTTGGATGTTGGAATAAATTACAAAGGGGTGTCGGAACATAGGAGTATCCGAACATAAGGGTGTCCGAGCATAGGAGTGTCGGAACAGAGGGGCGCAGTATCGATATGGCAAGCATTATGTTTCGACACCCTATGTCAGTACGCCCCTCTGTTCCGAAGAGAGGGGCGCAGTGGCATAGGGGTGTCGGAACAGAGGGTGCATTAACATAGGAGTGTCGGAACATAACGGGGGTCGGAACATGGGAGTGTCCGAACATAGGGGTGTCGGAACATAGACGGGCAGGGGGGGGGGGGGGGGGTTCCGAACATAAGGGGGTCGAAACATAGGGGCACCCGAACATAGGAGTGTCCGAAAAAAGGGGGTCCGAACATATACTTGCCGTAACATGCATTAGGAGTTTTAGAATATTGAGATGTCAGAACATAGGAGTGTCGGAACATAAGGATGTCGGAACATTTAGGGGTTAATTTGGAACATGTGTCTTTCGGAATTCAAGGAATTCGGAACATACATAGAGGGTGTTAGAACATAAACAAGAGAGAGAGAGAAAATCGGCGCACAATCATGAAGAATTATACACTGTTGAAAAGTTGGTACTTTTTTAGTTGATCATTGGTGCTTTATATGATGTAGGCCCGTCAAATTTCACTTCAGTTACATTCAATAAAACACACGGAGAATTATATTTAATTCCTACTTGGCACACGAAAATATAAAACACAATCTTTTGAAAGATTTGATAAAATGTATAAACTGTTTAAGAAGTGTGTATTCTTATATGATTTTGATATGATTAGGCGCGTCTCCGTCGGAAATCTCATTTATACATACAATGTATAATTGCCTTTTTAATATTTTGCATAACACCTAACTACAACAGTTTGTCCATCACCCCCCCCCCTCCCACCCCTTCCCTATCCACCTTCGGCAAAACAATATGGCCGAGCAGTACCACTGTCTTAAGATTATTGGATGACTTTCCATTTTACACATTTTCGAAACTGACCCCACCCCTTTTTTTTTTTTATATATTTGGGCGGGGGGTTTCCAATTAATTTCACAAACATGTATTTTAATTGCCCCCTCCCCCTCCGCATCTTCACCACTCATCACAGTGTACTAGCTCATAATTCTACGAGGCAACCCCCCCCCCCTTCCCAGTTTCAATTTCTGTTAGTGATACGTTTATAGATGAAAATTGCTTGAATGAAGTGGTGCAATTTCTCGAGTGAAATAGTTCATCGGAACTTTATTCTTGTTGCGAATCAATGGCAGCAGACTGTCTTTCAAAGTGGGGATGCAACAACATATAGGGCACTTTATGGGAAAGGGGGCACCTACAAATGGTAACCTCAAAACGGAGGGGGTGGGGGTGACATTGGTGTATACCCCTACATTAGAATAATACATGATCATGGATAATCTTCAACATTTACTCTTTACGTGATCCAAGATATTGCTTCAGGACCATACTTTGCAATTGGATATGATTCATTTGCGAACGAGCGAAGCGAGTGAGCGAAAATGAATGAGACATCAATAAGAACGGGAATGGGACATTTATATGGAAGTAAAAGGGGCACCTATCAGAATTGAATAGGGGCACTCATAAAAAAGGGGCGCTTATGTGATGGAAAAATGGGCACATTTCGTACGCAAAAAAACGGAGGAGGACTATGCCCCCCTTGCCCCCCCCCCCCCCCGGAGCGCCATTTCTATTGTGTACACAAAGGCGAAGTCCACATTGTCACCCTAAGCTAATATTAATCAAAACTCCAAAGTTCAAAAACGATGTAGGTTCATTTATCTTTACACACACACACACACACGTCTCTAACAAAACCAACAGTTTAGATTGTCTTTATTTATATTTTTCTTCGTTGCTCATCAAAAGAGCTCTCCGTCTGACAGTTCACGCGAGGTATCGAGCTATCAACGTAAGTCCTCAAACAGATATCGTATGATTTATAATCACCTTTCCTTTATTAACTTGACGACATAATGTGTGCAGGCGGCTGAAAACGGATAAACTTTAGGAATAGAGGACATTTGTGTACAGGTAAGTGAGAAAATAAGTACTTGCAACTTCGTAATGCTATAGCATGCACCGCCATACGGGGATATGTAATGTATATCCATACATATCTGAAAGCAGCATTAAAAGAACCAACACAGTCATATCATGGGCATTTCATGTGCTGATGTATGTTTAGGACGATCATTACCAACATTACTTGTTCTTATTCATCTTGATTATGATAAAAACCAATACTCAATCAGATTGTGGGTATACTTTGTGTCGATGTGCGTTTGGGCCGATAATTACCAACATTACTTATTCGATTCAGCCAGGACTACGAATTACGAGTATGTTTAGTTTAGATGAAGTATTTACCAGTACAAATGCAAAAATTGCACTTTTAATTTTGGTTAATTCATTTTATTTTGTTAGTTGTTCTTTTCTTGGAATGTTTAGATGTTTAGAGAAACCATTCTAGTATTCTGACAGTGGGATTATCAAGATTATTCAAGCTTAACATTGCCTTTCTTCATCAATGATTCCCCAACACTTATCCTAGATAACACTTACCTTTTCATTCAGTAGATTCCAAATTATTTCTCCTATAATTATGTAGTTGTAATTTGTAGTTCCAACTTATATTTTTGTTTTACACTTGTATTTCCGTATGTATATTCCGATTTCAATGTTTATTATGTAAGTTTTCTTCATTTAATGAGTGTGTGTAGTACAATCGCTTATACAAAAACTGTAAATTAAGCGCTTCATAAAGGTTAATTATTACTACGGCATGTATTTATGAACGATAAAAATCCCTCTCTCGCTTGGCTCTCGTGCAATCATAAAATGCTCTTTCTGGTATTTAAGAGGCCCATTCTAAAAGCGCCCTTTCTGACGATTCGGTCCCCTCCTCAACCTCGCTCCCGTCAACCCGTTTCTCTGCATACTGCCCATGGATGGGAAAAACGCCAATACAAACGACTAATAACATGTAGAAGTTAGTTTTAAAAAAACGCAAATTATCGTTCAGCGACATTTGATAGGGGCTTTGATTATTCCGTAAAAGTATAGGGTTATTAGGTTAGGTTTGGAGTGAGTGGTATGTTTAAAAGTTTTAGGTATAGTCCGGCGTATGGTCCCAGGGTAGAAGTAAGGATTTTGCTTAGTGTAAGAAATTACGGTAAAGCGATTGTAACAATAATGTTGTTGTTGTTTCTATTTTTGGCGTTCAGTCAAAATTGACTATTTACACCTGTCTATTTCGTAGTATAGTATACAAATATACACTGCCTTGAGAGGTTCTGGTTAAAACTATGCGCAAGAGGTGACTCCAATAGTACTATTTGCTGAGGGGCGCAGCCCCGAAGCAAATGGTAGTTTTGGAGTCACCGAGGCCCATAGTTTAACCAGTACCTCGAATAGAAGGCATGGTATATTTGTTTTATATCCTGCATCAAAAATTTATTTAAAAAAAAAAAAAAAAAAAAAAAAAAAAAAAAACATTTTTGGGAAAAAAAAATTTAGAACAAAAAAATGTCAATTTTTATCTAAAAAGATTTTAAAAATTTTGTTTTCATTAAATTAAGATTTGAAAAAAAAAATTGATTCAATTAAAAAAAAAAATCACATTTTTTTTTCAACTCCCAAATAGTAAACCAAAATAGTACTCTCATATAGTACTTTCTAAAAATAGCTCAAATATTTTTGGTCATGTGACGAGCTCTCAACCAATCAGAAGCCAACAAATTTTTGATGCAGGATATAATATTGTTTATGCCCGTCAAAATATCATTTGTTGTTGAGAAAAGTGTGCGCCTGTGCTTTCGCTTGTCCACAGCGGGGGATGTACAGTGGCGGATCGTGAGGGGGGGACAGGGGGCACGTGCCCCCCCCCCGGCCAAAAAAGTGTTGAAATCAGCCCCAAATGCGCCAAAAATGTACTGGCAAACGGGGACGTGCCGCCCCCCCCCCCCCCCCCCCTCCGCTTATTTAGCGGCAGGCTGATTCGTTGCGATTGTTTTGGACCAAAACAAATATATGTCCTCTTACCCCCGTGTGCCCCCCCCCCCTCCCCCCATGTGCCCCCCCCCCCCCGGCCCCGGGGAAAAAATTCCTGGATCTGCCTCTGATGTATCACGCCGGCCGGCCAACCCTGCTGCGTACGTTGAGCGAGCTTCTCAATCACCAGTATGCTCTAGGCCACTCAGTATCGCTAAAGCAATTCGTCACAATGTTTTCCTGATGCCCTCCTGTCAAGGACGATATAAACACGCTTTGTAGACAGGGATGGGCATATCAAATCATAAAATATAGTAATTTGTGTGCACAATTTGCCACACACAAAAACAAAGAACAGAAACATGCACTGCATGAACACATAAATGGATTGACAATGACCAACATATATAAATATCAGTCTACATTTGTTTTCGTACATACATACATACATACAAATATACATACATACAAAAACACCGTATACAACAATTCAATAACAGTGGGGTCTTATGCTATGCTCATGTCTGTCACATTGCCGCTCGTGGCGCTTCATTAGAACGTACCTGAGCAGCAGTGAACCATTTTAAGTGACCAATTTGCGACTGTCCTTGACCAGCTGTCAACAACAATTGTTTGTTGATTATTAGTATCATTATTGTTTTAATCACCATCATCATCATCATCATCATCATTATTATTATCATCATTATTATTATTATTATTGTTAATATTATTATAATTATTATTGTTATTATTATTATTATTATTATTATTATTATTATTATTATTATTATTATTGTTATTATTATTATTATTATTATCATTACTATTATTAATCGTTTAGCAAATTCCACGAAAAGATGATACTTTGTGAATTTGTACTCAAAAAGCTGATAAATATGTAAATGTTGTAAAGGCCATTTTGGTGCTTGTTTTTACAAGGGAAAGTGCGCAAATACGGTCATCTTGGAATCCGCTAACGACCATGCTAACGACCAGCGGGCATTGTTTCAATTTTCTCCCTCTGTGTTTCACTTTATATCACGCAGACAATGTATAATCAATCAAGGCGAACCTTTGACAAAGGCTCGCCCTGATCGATTACACATGTTTAAAATAACAACAATATAGACCTCTAGTTATATGGCAATAGGGATTAATGTCAACTGAACTACAAAGAAAGAAAGAGGCATATTACGAACCACAATCTGAAAAAAACGTTGCTTGATGTTCTTTTGAGTTTTGTGTCAAAAGTACAATAGTAAGGGAATAACATTCCCACAGAAGCCCTTGGTCGTTTTGAATCAGTTTAGCTCCCCAGGTATCAAGACATTATTTCCTTATAATTTACCATGCCATGCCCCCTGCGATGAAAGAACAGATTATTATCCGCCTCCTCCTCCTCCTTCTTCTTCACCTCCTCGATCTTTCTCGTCCTTCTTCTTCTCTATTTCTTTCTTTTGTTCATTCTTTTTTTTTCTGCATTTTCTTTCTTTTCTCTTTAATCTTTTCTTTTTTGTTCTTTTCTGTCTTTTCTTTCCCCCATTCATATTTTCCTTTTTTCTTGTTGTCATAGAGTTTGACCAACCTTTACAAAATAAGCGAGAAAGGATAAGAGAATAATTATTTGAAAGTAGGCCATTTGAATTATAGTACGATTAAGGTGCGTACGCACCTGGGGTGGGGGGGGGGGGGGTTAAATCCCCCCTTAATTTTGTTTAAGTGTGTTTTTTTTTAGAACCCCCCCCCCCCCCCGTCTCTCACTCACTTCATCTCTCTCTAGCTCTCTCTCTCTCTTCCTCTCACTCTTTTTCTTTTTCTCTCATCCTCTCTCTCTTTCTCTCTCTCTCTCTCTCTCTCTCTCCCTCTCCCTATCTCACTCTCTTTCTCACTCACTCCCTCCCTCCCCCCGCTGGCGGAGGGGCCATCTATGAGTTGGAAAGAAGAAAAACATTGGTCATGAAACGAAACTGAAGCGAAAAATGTTAAGCACAAGGATGACGCTGAAGAAAAAAAATAACCTAAGGATTAAAAAGTTTCTTTGGTCATTTATAACAGCATGACGTCACTTTGCTTGACGTGTAAAAGCAGCTACTGCCAGCAACTCTCAATGTTATTACACCTTGCTTATCTCAGGTACCCGTTAGATTGTCATCTGGCTTGTCATATAGTCACGTATACATGATACAAACCATAGCTTCCCTCTCAAGGTCCTGAGTATGATATTAATGCAGGACGAGTTCGTTGGCTTACCCGGTTATCTCTGTATCTCTCTCTGTCTCTCTCAATCAACACATGTTTTCAGTCCGCATTATAGCTTTGACCAAATGAACGTAATTAGCTGTCAAGAGCACATGGTGTCCTCGTTATGACCTGAAAACTTATCTGTCAAATGAACAGAAATAGAAAGATAATAATATTGCCGTTACGATTTGTATCTGTGCAGGCATATTTGTTGAGCGGATAATCTTCGAACTTGCCTACGGACTTGTCCGCTGTATTCATCGTACCGTCTCTTCCACTGCAGTCATCATGCCATACACGGCCTATATACGAAGACGAATCTTTGGGGTTCTCGCGGCGACGATTGTCGTAATGACGGTTATTGAAAACGCGAGTACGATGATGACGACGAGAGCAACGATGACCACATTACCACCGGTCTTGTACAGCGACAATGGAACCGACATTGACTTGCGTGAAATATTCATTGGAAGGTGTGCCGACTTCAAGGCCGGAAGAGTCAACCCAACAGTCGACCTAAATGAACTAAGGTTGGCAATAATCATCTTTGTTATTATTTTATCTCATTATCAAATGAATTAAAGTGTTTCTATTATTTAGCCCGTGCACTTGTACATAAGATTGGTAAAGGAGTAACTTTGTTGAAAATTCTCGTGGTTTATTAGGTACATTTTAATTTCTAAGGAAATTAAATGACCGACCGTGAAAAGGGTTCAACGCGGAAACTGAAACTCGAATTCATTGAAAGAAGCATAGTCGTCCAGGCACCATGTTTTTTTGTTTTTTTTTTATTTATTGTTTTTTTTTGGGGGGGGGCGGGGGGGATTTTAACGGTAGCTTGCGTGAAAAAATGAACTTCCAGTTTCTTTCTAAATGTTGCCAGCACCCGTCCCCAGGCCTCAACAGCTCGTATTCAAAAGGCCATCATTTTAATAGTTTACCTCGTATTAACATAAACTATAGGTACCGCAGTTTGGATTTATCACGTCATTTTTGTTGTTGAAAATTTGAGGTCCTGTAAAAAAATTATCATATGGTATCTCAATTATCTTTGACCTTCTACTAGCTGCTTTAATAATTCATCAATATCATCGGTATTACAGAATTTATCAACTTTTAGAATTATGAATTTTTAGTGCGCTTTGTAAATGTCAGAGTTGACTGAAGATTTGTGACCATGGAACAGAGCTACTGTTTTCAAGATTGAACAGACCATTACTCTAAATATAGATATCAATCTTGTTTCCTAATTGCCCGTTAAAAGGCTTTGCTCCTCGTTAAACCATTATCTGGGTGGTGCTATTCGATAAAGGATAAATAGTTTAGATTCCATGGATAGCTAATAACCATACACATGTCCAACTGAGTAAATGTGCCATTGACATCTTCTGACGATATATGTTTGTCATTTGGAGTTTTTGTCAGTCTAGAAAATGAAGCCCCCAAAAGAGGCAAATTAACCTTTCATTTCAAATAATTTTATAATAATGACAATAATAATATATCTTGTTTTATACTCAAGGTAGCCTTATAAGTATTAATATTGTTCTCCCTGAGGGCCCTGCGAAGGCTGCAATAACATTATTACCCCGGCTTTAGCCGAGCTACCATTAAAGGCGCACAAGCATTTGCTAGAAACTGTACTATGTAAAGCACCGCACCAAGAGCGCCTTATCAAGATATAAACGCAATCAATCCAACAATTTCTCTTCAAATAGACACATGTATTCTACTGGCCTATCCATACATTGATAACGGGGGATCCTTCCCGTAATGTATTTTGGCAAGTGAGGGCTTGATGAAGGCCCATCGCAACTGATTGTTCCCTATAGGCCTTCAGAGAGGGTGAGGGAGCGGCGGGGGCGCGGCTTAACTCTTTACTAGACATGCTATTGAACTGTCTCTTTTTACACAATATAATGGAGAGAAAAAATAGTCGGATGGGATACGTGCGCATAAAATGATAAAATAAGTCTTTAGTTTGAAGTGATGTTGTACATGAGCGTTGTAGATGTCGGGATCTTTAACAAAACGTGCCAACTGGCACCTGTGATCAAGTGCCTACCTTGATAAATATATGTTTGAGGTAAACCACGGCAGACACATTTCATGGAACCATTGTAAAGTTCATAATTATCAGTACAGCTGCCATTAACCAAACCATGCCAGGCGCGGCGGCCAAGGCCCATTCCTATTTTCATCTCACCAGTGGAGATACAGATTTAAATCTGTCTTACATTTGTAGACATGAAGGTTACATGTATTTCTCTCTAAAAAAAAATATATACACGTATGTGAAGTAATTATTACTTTTTGTGCTGTCAATATATTTCACTTGAATACTAGTACCCATGCACGACAAAATTGAGTTGGTTTACGATATTTGCCCCTCTGGCTCCGCGTCAATTTCCTACGCTAACAGAATCCCAAGCTCCAACCATGAAACCAACGCTATACCTAAAACTAACCCTTATCCTAGTTATGTAGTAGTCATATATACCTTGAACAGGTTCTTTATAAGACACATTTCTAGAAAGTTAAGTTTCTGCCCCTTCATATGACACCTCATTCAGGAAAAAATAGCAAGGAATAACAAAGTTCTGTTTGTTTAAAGTGACGCTTGCATTTCCATAATTTGATTTTAAAAGTTCGTTTTCACTGTCTGCCTGCCGTAGCAACAAGCAGAATTGACAAAAGACTTAACTCCGTTTCATTGACTATCAGCCATGCATGAAGTCTTTCGTCTATGTCTGATCGTCAACGAAACGTATTTCAGTCTTTTGTCAATTCCGTTTGTTGCTACGGCAGGCAGCCAGTGAAAACGAATTCGTTTAATCAAATGATGGAAATGCAAGCGTCACATTAAACAAACAGAAGTTTGTTATTCCTTGCTCAATTTTTCTGATCGAGGTGTAATATGAAAGAGCAGAAAATAAACTTTCAAGAAATGTGAATTTTTCTTCGAAATTCAAATACCGCCCGCCAAATGACTCTTTGGTTTCCTTCCTTCAAATTGATTTTAATCACTCATGCGTGACATATGCATCATATGAAAGATGAGGATCTAAGCTTTACAAATATGTGTCATTTATTAAATATAATTGTGATTAAAATATGATTAAACATCGATAATTCTCGGTTTGGTGTTTTCTGGGTCGCACTGTATATTGATTATTTGTATATTTGAGGAATTTTCAATAATTCTTTGTATTTGCTTCTTAGTTTGAAACGGTTTAATGATTCGATGCCTAACTGATGCATTTTAGATGCTTACTTTGTAACCTATTGCGATGTTTATAGGCCAATTTGTTTTCGTATGTGGTCGTGTATTGAAAGCAATTCGGAATTGTGGATTCCATTGCTATAAATTTGAACTGAATTGAATTGAATTATACATTCGACGAAATAAAGCCCGAAGGACTTATCGCAGGAGCAAATGTCAGGTCACCATAATCGACCTCAATACACAATAGCTTTAAAATGGAACTGGGGCCCGTTTCATAAAATGTTTTATCTATAACAAATGCTAAATTTCTATGACAAATTTGCTCTCAGCCAATCACATGCCATGATTTCACTAGCTTATAACAGTAGCTTGTAACTTGGTATTGATATCAAGTTTTATGAAACGGGGCCCTAGTAGATACTCTCAGCAACATTGCGATTTGTCCAACTGCATCATGATGATAGGAAGGTTATCGGTCCAGAAACGAATTCAACACTTTGAAATACGTATTTCAAAGTGTTGAAATCGTACAGTTCGCATTCAATAATAGTGATATAGCTGTTTGTTTAATCAAGTCTTTATTGCAACTAAAATAAATTGTCATCGGAAATACCATGCCCATCAAATGGTCTCTTTCCAGAATCATGGCAGGTCATTCTTAAAGCATAATCGTTTGTTTGGAGACAGAAGGGCGTTAACTCTGTGTTAGAGTATGTGACTTAACGCCCTTCTAGCTCTGACCAGACGTAACATGTAAGTATGAGTATGGGGTTATTTGATTTGATTTGATATGGTTTATTGATTAAAAAACATTCAAATACCAGCCAGAGGCTGAAACAAATTGAATTTACAAAAGATACATACAAAAGCATAACATATACATATAAATGGCAATTCACAATAAATAATCAAGGATATATGATCAAAGAAGAGAAGATAAACAAGAGAAGAGATTGAAACGGATGACTAAAGGATAATTGAAGGAGAACGATCGCGTAACAGAAGGAAATAAGACAAATGTAACAGAAGATTAGAAGGACTGGACAGATAATAACAGAGAGAGGGAGAGAGAGAGAGAGAGAGAGTGGGGGGGGGGCGTAGAGAAATGAGAAAGAGAAGCTGGTGAGGAGACTACACAATAAGAGGGACAGATAAAGAGTAGGACATATAAATAGGCTGAAATGGAGAACTAGAGAAATAATCGGATAAAGTGTTAATAAATACCTAACAATGTAAATGCAGCATAATTTTTGAGACCAATTTAAACCGACTACAACATGAAACAATAAATCCTAGAGCACAAACCGCAATGTCATTGATATATTCATTATAGATATTTAAATATAAAAAGCTTTACAGAATTAGGCAAAACATGGTTAATACACATATATTTGCTTATGATACCATTCGATCACTGCATAAGTCTCACGCTTGCTCTTGGGAACAATTTTATAATTGGCGTGACCTTGGTGACTAATAGCTTGGTGTCAATCGTCAGAAGAGCGGAGATGCCCTACCTCCCCCTTTTTGTTCCGATGTGCCACTGACATGAAAATCGGTTTCTACAGTGGATTATCCCGAATTCGATTTTAGGGGGTGGGGCGAAATGTACTCGGTAACATTGTTGAAAGTTGATCACAAAATTGCATAATTTTTGTATTTAATGTTACTTTTATATTACTTTTACTGTACTAACCCTCTAACATGCAAAAAAATCCTGAAAAAAATCTCCAACCACAGAGATATCTATGGTTTTCTTTGATTAACAGTAAATTCTCCCGACCATTTTTGAATTTTCCCAACCGTTTTCCATGAAAAAAGACACAAAACAGGCTATACAAATCTTTCAACACTTAAATGTCTGGAATGGTATATACAGAGCCAATTCATTGCTTTGTGACGATGTACATTCACCTAAAATGTAATTAAAGTGTAATAATATAGCTGGGAGGATTAAGGAATCGATCAGATCAGCTTTTCCCAATTTATATCATTAATAATGGTCCGTTTTCACTCAAACTTTCAGATCTTTAATTGTACATCTAGCATTGAAGTCACTACCTTAGCACCACTTTCTCTCATCTGAACAATGTTACCAAATTCCAACGAGGGGGTGTACACCTAAGCTATTACTCAGCACTTTACTTGATACACATGTACCTCAAAAAAATTACGTCCGAAGGGTCACGTTCCTTATCGACATTGTTTTAGCACTAGGGGAATATTTCTTTCGTCATCAATTAAATCACGTAATTCGACGTTTACGAATGGTAACGTCTATATTGAGATGCTGTTATAATCATG